GACATTCATATTTACGGGCCCCGAGGTAGTTTAAGGAGTTCGTCACGGACGCGCGACGCGCGCTTGTGCGTTTCGTTTCACCAGCTGCAGAGGATGTTTGAACACTGGTGATGTTCGGTAAACGGCTGTGCGCGATGGGGCCGGAGTCTGGCGTGGCTGGGACCGTATGGCCTCCATATTTTAGGATGGATGATGGGGCAGAATTGTGTGTAAATTGCAATGCGAAAGGGTGGCCCGTTGACCCCATCGGGGGGGGGGGGTCGATCTTACGATCTTTTCATGATGAAGAGATGCGCTGTCCACTCCAGGCGGCGACTGGGCCGACCACGGAACCGCCAGACCGACACCGAGGTCCAGACGACTGGTGGCGACGAGGCGGCGACGGGGCAGCGACGGCGACACCATAACCGCCGGACCAGCACGCAGGCCCACTTCTTTAGAACAAGAGCAAGAACTCCTGAGTGTAAGCGCTGTTGGGGCATATGCGCGTTCAAGAACTTGCGCCTTCAGACGGTGCTGCCTTCAAAAGCAATCTCTTCAGCGAGGGCAGGCTCATCCGCAGGCCTCTTAGAGGTCCCCAAGAAGTCCCCGCCCAGAGAGGCCTGGAGGAGGCTTGCGGAGACCCCAGTCTTCAGAGGAGCCAAGACCATCTCAATTCTTTGTGACTTCATGGCAAATTGAGCTTCCTGATTCGCTGCGACGAGAAGGCCGACGCCGAGACTACGCAAAGGGTCCAGCGCCCAGTGGATGCGGATATAGTTGGGCCACGGGTGGCCCGAGTATATCCACATCCGCCGCCTCCCGAGGTCCATGGGGATCGCGCCCCCAGGCCGTAAGTTCTGGCGTCGGACATATTATTGAAGATCGTTTTCAGAATTACGTACCGGAGACGTACTCTACCCTTTCTCAGCGCGACGTGTATGTCAAGAGGAACGAGGAACGATCCATAGCAAAGAACACATTTAGAGAGACCTGCTGCACTCTGGAACGCTTCGTCAAACAACGTCGGTCCACATGCAGCGCCCCCCATTCACGCACACGCTCTCGCAATTCATACCGCAAAAGAGAAGTCAACGATGAGCGTCCCCCAGGGAAGCCGCGAGGTCTCGTCTGCGTCCACGTCCCTCCGCTCCGTAGGACCTCCCAGGAGCCAGCGAACGTAGCCATAGTTACACAGTTGGCAATCCCCGAGGGATCCGCGAGGTCTCGTCTGTGTACGCGTGTCCCTCCGCTCCGCTGGACCTCCCAGGGGCCCACGAAAGTGGCGCAAGTTGCGCAGCTGGCAGCACCCCGCGGAAGCCGCGAGGTCTCGTCTGGGTCCGCATGCCCCCCCCCCGCTCCGATGAGCCCACAAAAGTGGCGACAGTTGCGCAATTTTCAGCCCCCCAGAGACGCCGCTAGATCCCGTCTGGATCCGCGCACCCCCCCGTTCTGCTGGGCCTCCCATGCGCCCACGAAAGTGGCGGCAGTTGCGGAATTTTCAGCCCCCAGGGAAGCCGCGAGAGGGAGGCGGAAGGAAAAGCGGATCAGGAGGAGGGGGAGGAGGAATAGGAAGACGATGAGGAGGAGGAACAGGTGGGAGAACGGAAGGAAGGAAGGAGCTCGGAGTAAGCAGAGTTCTTGTCAAAACGTACGAATTTTTGGAGCTCCCGGTCTCCGCACTTGACCCCTCTTCCTGGCGAGCGGAGCGCGCCAGGGGCGGCGCCAGAGGCGCCGCCAGGGGGGTCCAGCGCCGATCCGAGAAATTCGCGGGGATCTCCGGAAGTTCATGTTGAGGCCGTTGTGTCTTCCTCGTCGTCCTTCTCGTCCATCTCCTCCTCGGTCGGTCGGTCGGTGAGGGCAGTCCAGACATGCGACGCGCTGACTTTTTCAGTTCGCGGTTTCCGGAAGTCCCGACCCTTTCCCCTGGGCTGGTTTTTCATCCCGAGTTGTGCTTTGACGGTCCTCGGGCCCAGCAAGGGCCCCCAGTGGTCGAAGATTGAGAAACACCTCGGTCATGGCCTGCTCAGGACGCTGCATGTCTGGGAGAGCCTGGAAGCAGCTCCTCCTCCTCCTCCTCCTCCTCCTCCTCCTCCTCCTCCTCCTCCTCCCCCTCCTCCCCCTCCTCCTCCTCCCCCTCCTCCTCCTCTCTTCCCTCCTCCTCCTCCCTCCTCCTCCTCCTCCCTCCTCCTCCTCCTCCTCCTCCTCCTCCTCCTCCTCCTCCTCCTCCTCCTCCTCCTCCTCCTCCGCTCTGCCTCGGGGCAGCCCGTCTCAGCGGGGGCGAGGGGCGCGCTCCGCCCCCCCGCCCCCCCCCACCCGAGCTGGCCCCCCCTGAGGCGGCCAGGCGCCCCTTCGGGCGCGCGGGCGCCCGCGGGCGGGCGCGCCGGGCGCGGCCAGGCCTCCTCGGGGATTGTCGCGGGCCGGAGGAGGAGAGGGCGTCCGTGCCCACTGCCCATGGCTTCTTTTTTTCCCTTCTCTGGGCCTCCTCCTCCTCCTCCTCCTCCTCCTCCTCGTCCTCCTCCCCCTCCCCATCCCCCCCCCTCCTCCTCCTCCTCCTCCTCCTCCTCCTCCTCCTCCTCCTCCTCCTCCTCCTCCTCCTCCTCCTCCTCCTCGTGGCGTGGGCCTCGCCACCACCTGGGATCTCTGGGAGGACCTCGCCACCACCGCCGGATTCTCTTCGACGTTCTGGTCAGAACGCACCCCAGGAGAGGTCCCGGGAGCAGCAGCATCGGTACCTCTTGGTTTCCCCAGAAGGGGGTTGGTGAGGATGTTTCCCCCGTCCAGGTTCTCCAGAGGTGGCGTCGCCAGGGCGCGAAGATAACCGCGCACCGTGGGGCTTGAAAGCGCGAAGTTAAGTGACCGGGAGGATAACAACTCGGGCGTCTCGAAATGATACCGCCAGAGGTTTGATGGCTTCTTCTTGGATTGTTATTTGATCGCTTCGCCCATTCCGCCGGCCCTTATCGTGGTCGATTGCCCGAGTTATGGGGGTGAGTGCGAAGCCGTTGGGTGGGGCTTGCATTCCTGAAGGAGTCGCAGTGACTGTGGAGTTGGTTTCTGGGGTTCGTCGTTGACTCTGACGGGGCTGTCTTGGGGCAATCGTGGATGATCACGGTTCGACTGTGCTTTGCTTGTGTCGGTGAGGGGCTGATGATTGTGGATGGTCGTTGTGGGGCCATTTCGCAGATTGGAGGTATTCGTCGCAAGTTTGAGCCTTATCCATTTGGAGGGTGGTGGCTTATGAATGCGATCGCAGGACGAGGAGGATGAGAGGAGGAAGAGGAGGATGAGGAGGGCGAGGAGGATAATGAGGAGGAGGATGAGGAGCACGTGGAGGAGCAGGAGGAGGAGGAGGAGGAGGAGGGAGGATGAGGAACAGGAGGAGGAGGGACGATGAAGAGGCGAGCGAGAAGGAAGAGGAGGAGGAGGAGGAGGAGGAGGAGGAGGAGGACGAGGAGGAGGGAGGAGGAGGAGGAGGAGGAGAGGGAGGGGAGAGGAGGAGAGGAGGAGGAGGAGGAGGAGGAGGAGGAGAGGAGGAGGAGGAGGAGGAGGAGGAGGAGGAGGAGGAGGGGGAGGAGGAGGACGATGAGAAGGAGGAGGAAGAGGGGAGGATGAGGATCAGGAGGCCTCTCGATGCGGCACAGAGGTCCTATTGTAGCGCTTGTCGTTCGAGGATTGAGGTTCGTTGACGCAGAAGGGGGATAGGGCGGAGAGGGAAGGAAAAAGGAAGAGTTGATAAGACGATAGGAGGCGACTGGGGGCGTCTTGGCGGTATCTCAGGGACCTCTTGGGGCGTCACATGGCCTCTTGGAGGCCCCTTGGGGAGCTCTTGGGGTCCTTGGGGGGCCTCTTGGGGGCTCCCTGGGGGCCTCTTCGGGCCTCCAGGGGACGCTCTGCGCCTACTGTAGAGCTCGAAGTGTCCGTTCGGGTCCCTCGTCTGGGCCGCTTTTGGAGCCGTCTTGGGGGCCTCTTCGGCCATCTTGGAGGCCTCTGGGGCTGTCTTTGGGCCCTCTGGGCGCTCTGGGAAGCCTCTTGGGCCGTTTTGGGGCGATCCTGGAAGCCTCTAGGGCCGTTTTGGAGCGCCAGTAAGCCCTCAAGGCGAGAACGCCTAAAAACCTGACAAACTACAGCAAAATCACCCATTTCTGCCTCTGTGGGCCCTCTTGGGAGGTCTCTTGGAGGCCTCTGGGGGCGTCTTGCAGGCGCTTTGGGCTGTCTGGAGGCCATCTTTGGCGTCTTGGATCGCTCTGGGGCCGTCTCGGGCCATGTTGAGCTCTCTTGGAGGCCACTTGCAGCTCTCCTGGAACGCTCTTGGGAGCCAGCTGGGACCTGATCGGGACCTGCTCGCGACCTGCTCGGGACCTTGCCAGGACCTTGCCGGGACTTGCTGGGACCTTGCCCGGACTTGCCTGGACCTTGCCGTTTTTTTTTGTCGACCCCGGACTCCCCGGGCGGGCCCCGCGCGCGCGAAGCAGAGTACTGTGAGCCCGTCACCGGAGATGTCAGCACGCCCTTGGCCCGTCGGGCTGGCGAACTTTGTTATTCCGAGACGTTGTGGATGTGCATGCAAATTTTGCCCGCAATCCCCCGAGATGGCGTCGTGGACAAATCGAAGTTTCGTGAGCAACAGCGCAGTGCGCTCGACCCAATCCTTCTGCGTCGCTTCTCGAGGTGGGCCGATCTGTGATGAGATGAAAAAGTTCCAGGGTTTGGAAGGGGGGGAGACGCGCTGTGGGTGCCTTGTTCGCGACGTCTGGATTTGAGAGCCGGTCTGGCCCTGACCTCCAACGAGGCGTTCTTTTTTGGCGTTTCGAATCGCAAGCACCTGGACGCCTCGAAACTCTTCCACAGCCCAGCAGTTCATCCCAGGGCCCAGGGCTTCTGGACGGCGACGTCGGGGGGAGAAAGTCGGACTCCATTTGGACAGAAGTCTTGTCTCTAGCGAGGCCAGGTGTCGTCTGCGTCTGGTGTTTTTGGCATCGCTTCTCCCAAAATCCAAGACGCCGTCGGTATGGGCATCAATGTTGCCTGCAGGGATGGACATATTCGAGCGCGGGACCTCGAACGTCGTCTGGTGCGAGGCCATCGTCCAGGGCTACAAGTATCATCCGACGACCGCGGAGCTGTGGAACACGGCCACGTCCGTCGTCTTCTTCTGCATCGCCGGCACCTTCGGGGCGGCGAGGGCCTGGAGGCAGGGCTACTCCCTGGCGCATGTGTTCAGCGACGTGCTGTTGATCATCGTCGGCGTCGGCTCCGCGTTTTTTCACGCCACCCAGAGCTATGCTGGGGAGCTGCTCGACGAGGTGCCGATGTCGATTATGGCCGTCGGCTACCTCCTCTGCGTGAACAGGATACACTGGTTGACCACTCCGCCCTACAGGGCCCTCACGTACGGGGTCGGGTTTGGCCTGGCTGCCATCGCCTGGGTGGCCTACTTTTGGCTCCGGTACTTCGAAATATTCCGGGTCTGCTTCGTTTTCCAGGTCGCCTACCCCGCCCTCATCAGCCTGTTCAGCGGTCCCGGCTCGCCGTGCTCGTCTGGGAAGAGGCAGTGGTGGACGTTCCTCGTTATCATCCTGGTCGGCAAGATCGCTTGGCAGTGGGAGCGCTTGTTGTCGGACTGGGGTCAATGCCCCACGAGCGAGTGGGACCCACGCTTCTGGTTCCACCAGATTTGGCACTTCAGCGCGGCCGCAGCGCACGTCGCGTGGATGTCGTACTCTGGTCCGCTGCAGGTGCGGATCTTGAAGGAGAAGTCGACTTGAGTCTTCCTGCTCCGCCTTGTACCCCCCTTTGTCTCGTCTTGGCAGTCTTGAGCCTGCTTGCCGCGCTGAGGCTGGAGAGCCCCGCGCTTGCCGGCATGATCCCCTGCCAGAGCGAGCTGCTCCCAGCACTATGTCTTCCCTCCTCTTTCCCACCTTCTCCCTCGTGTTCCTTCTGCTCCCCCTCCCCTGCCCGTCCTTCTCATGCCGCGCATGCGCTATGATGCCCAGTCCAGCCCTCAAGCGCAGGCGACACACGGCCGTACTCGCCGCCATCGCTGACGCTGTGTTCCACGCCGCAGCCCAGCGGTCGTGGATTCACACCAGGGCTCCGAGAAATGGGAGGGCTTTGGGAAACCTGCAGAAGCCCCACCAGACAGCACTTGGCATCGCACCACGCTCCCACGTGGGGAATGCTGGCAGATCTTCTCTTGCCTGCTCCCTCCGCTCCCCTCCACTTCCCTCCCCCTTCCCCAGACTCGCGTGCCAGGCGGGAATGTATACACACCTATATCCACCGCCTGGGGAACCAGTGTCCCTGGGCCCCAGGAGGCGGTGGATCTGGATGTAGCAGGCCCCCTGGTGCCCAACACACATCTAGATCCTCCGCCCCCCTTGGGGCCCCGGGAGATCGGCTCCCCAGGCGGCGAGTCTGCGCGAATCCCGGCCTCGGGTCCCAGAGCCATGAAAGATCGAGACGGCCGATTCTCTGAGCTTGGGCCCCGGAGGCGCAGCTTCGGGCGTCCACGGGGCCTCCGCCCTGCAGGCGCGGCGTCGGCGGCCCCCGTGGCGCTTGCCGCGGCGGCGCCTGCCGCGGGGAAGGCTCAGAGGGCGGCGACCGAGGGCCCCCCTCCTGCCCCCGGCCCCTCCATCCCCAGACCCCTCGCGCCTTGGAAAGTCATGACAGCACGTGCTCCACACCCTTCGGCCCCTGGGTTCGCCCACCCCGCCCCGGATCGGTCCAGAGGCGACTCGGGATGAAAAGCCAGTCCTCGTCGGCGGGCCCAGGCCGCTGGGGGCGCCACGCCATGAAAGATCATGGCGTCGGGGGTCTGGGCATCTCGGCTGTTGCCAGAAGTGACCCTGGCCCAGGGTGGCCCCAGCCTCTCCACGGAGACCTTGGCGGCCCCCTAGAGCACGCTCTCACGAGGCGGCCCAGGGGAGTACCCATGGGAACTTCCGAGCTGCGCGACGAGCTGGGGCCACCCCCCTGAGGGCCAGGACCTCACCACACCTCTGGCAGCCTGCGCTCCTGCGATCCCTGGCCGCTCTTCAGTCGACGGCCGTGTGCGCAGCACCTCGGCGGCCACAGCAGGTGTAGAGTCGGAGCCGAGCAGGCGAAGAGGAGGGACGGACCGAGAGCGAGAGTCGCCGCGGGAGCGGGAGAGGAGGGGGGGGGTAAGGAGGAGGAGGAGGAGGAGGAGGAGGAGGAGGAGGAGGAGGAGGAGGAGGAGGAGGAGCCGGTGCAGAGGGACGGACCAGGAGAGGCGGCGGCCAGGCAGGGGCGGGGAGCACGGAGGGCCCGAGACGCAGAGGACGGGCGAGAGGAAGACTGCAGTCAGTCCGCGCAGGAAGGATTAGCAACTGTCCCAGGTTACCCTCCTCCTCCTCCTCCTTCTCCTCCTCCTCCTCTTCCTCCTCCTCCTCCTCCTCCTCCTCCTCCCTCCTCCCTCTTCCTCCTCCTCCAGCTGGCGTACCAGGCTTAAGGCTTGATTGTCAGCTGGCGGGAGGAGCCAGCATTTCTCAGGGTGTCGGAGTCCCAAGCCCGAGGGACGCGGCACGCACCGCGAGGGATGGCGACGCGGCGCAGGTGAGTGGCTGCGCGGCGATGCTGTTCGGCGGGGTGCTCCTCTCCTACATAGTGGGAGCGGTTCAGTACAATTCAAGACGCGCATGGGGAGAGCGGTGCGAGGAGGAAATCAGCAATGAGTTGAAGACAGAGCAGCTGATTACATGGACAGACAAGAATGGCGAGCATATTGGGATCACCCAGGAGAAAGTCAGCAACTACCTCACTGGGCAATTCTTGGTGGAGGGAATGATGGATGCTGGATGAATAACAGCTGTCAGCTGCCGAGAATTTATTTGAATCGTGTTCAATCTCCACCCCACGGACTTAGAGGACGCGAGGCAGCACTAGGACTGAAACTGGGCAAAATGGAGATCCTCTCTATTGAAAGGTATGACGAGCCAGGGGGGAGGAAGATCAACGACGAACTTGCGAAGCGTATCTTATCAGGGGTGGAGCACAGATGTGGCAAGAGTGGAAGTATTACAAATACTATCTGGTGTGCAGACTGTAATTATGATTGTGGGAGGGTTCGTGGCCCGACTGGAGAAATGGAGTTTACGAAAGAAGCGGGGATTGGAAGATGCAAACCAAACATCGAGACCGCCAGCGGGAAACCAAGTAGACGCACGCGCCAGAGTACACATGGACGCATTCAGACTACCATTGGGCCAGAGCTCGGCAGCACTTGCTACGGCGAGAAGGGACAAAGCAGAAACAACCATATCATATTTCCTGAAGGAGCAGCTGTGGCAATGAAAGGATACAGGAAGTCACCGAGTGCAGGGCGATGGCCACAACCACTGCGGCACGCAGATCTACGAGGACAAAGATGGCCAGAAGGAGTTAAACGAAATGAATTGATGCGTGTACGAAAAGGGCTAAAACGGGAAGGTCACCACAGACGCATAATGGAACTGCAGAACGAGATCGAAGAAAAAAGGATGGCAGCAAACAAAGAGCAGACACACGCTTGAAGACATGTATGAGTAATGATATGGGGGGAGCTTTTCCGCAAGGAGCCAGACTACAACCAGAAGGGATGCAGGCGGCTACACAGTATCGCATGCAGCAGCTGAAAGAGATCACAGCGACGCTGAAGAGTGAGTGGCACGATCGAGAGTAGAGGAGAAAAGCGGAGTTGTTGGAGACGAGGTGCAGAGCGGCGAAAAGACGAAATTTTGCTGAGCTACGTGAGCTTCTTTGTCAGGACAGCGGTGCGCCAGAGGGGAGTACTGAGCTGGAGAAAGAAGGCGACTACGGTGGGCTGAAGGCTAACGGTTACGAGCGTGGAAGAGAGAGTACTGCATCGGAGTTGACACAGACGGAGAAAGAGAAGCACGACTTGTCGATGCAGAGCGTAGGGGAGATGTGCGAGACGACCGCAAAGCACTGGCCAGATACCTGAGAAGAACTTGCAAAAGAAGGGTACACCCATCTAGGGGAATTCCGAGCGAGATGGAGATGCGGAGAAAGCACTTTGAGAATATTAAGGCCCCGAACGAAGCCGTAGAAAGCGTAAGAGTTGCGATCAAATTAAGCCGCCTTGAGAATGTGGAGGAGGAGGAGCAGCCGCATAATAACAAAGGCAGTGCTTTTTTGCCTAAGATGGGAGGTATACCAGGTCAGGCGCTGGAAGTAAACCCGCTACGGGAAGTGACAGAGGCCGTGCAGCAAGATTATTGGATCAATCGCCGAGGTCATAGAGCTGGACATGGAATAATGGAAAGGAGTTGCAAAGCTGAGTTGTTTCAAGGGCGTTATTCAGGGTATAGTGAAAGCAGGGGCGTGTCGGACAGTGCCGATTGGTTGTTCGAGGGCACCTCCGAGCAGCATGGACAAGAGCAACGGCGCAGCGGGATCCCTCGGGAGCAAAGTTTTTCATGAATATTGTGCGTGGGCGTGTGTGTGTGGGGGTGGTGGTGGTGGTGGTGGTGGTGGTGGTGGTGGGTGGGGTGGGGTGGGGGGGGGGTGGGGGTGTGGGGGGGGGGGGGGGGGGGTCATAGCGGTATATGCAGACGAGCCCAACCAGTGCAAAGAACCAGCTGGACAAAGGGAGGACCTGCGAATAAATGCAGAGAGGAAGCGCTGATCACGACGATGAGTTGCATATTGAGAACTTTGTCTTTGGACCATAGCCAGAAAACGACGAACTTTGACGATGCAAAGGCTTTCGGCTGCGCGTCCAGAGAGAAGTTGGAAGGAGTTGTAAAGGACAATACTTTCAGTCAGATGGGATTTTGCCTCGCACCGAGAGATGTCAATGACCAGGCAACCCCCCTCATCAAGCAGTGGAACCAGCACCTCAATGGGCAGGACATCACTTATGGCTTGCTGGGAACGAGGAACCCGACGGTGAAGCAGGGAGATGAAGGAGACATTGGACTGGCAACGTTCATGAAAGACGGTGCACGAAACATCTCTGGTTGGGCACTCCGAACGTGCAAGAGGCGGGGGCGAATGTCAACTACTCGACGGAGAACTTGGAGAGAGAGAGAGAGAGAGAGAGAGAGAGAGAGAGAGAGAGAGTGAGAAAAAAAGAAAGAAAGAGAGAGCATAAAGGAGGGGTATTACGTCAGCGCTGACACAGCCCATCACCTCGACGGGCTACGAGGAATTGGAGCTTGGGGCAATACGAGAAGAGTGCCCCAGAAGAAGTACGGTGTAAAAGGCGAGGTCCAGCGACACCAGAGAATACCCGGTCAATGCCATGCAGCCGACGGGGTGGGCGTCAAGCTTCGAGATCTTGGGGATCCTCAGCAGCGCGAAGTTTTTCACCATCAAGGACGGGAAGCTCGAAGGGGAGATGGGGGAGAACGCCGCCAGACGGCAGCGCATCGACCTGTCGTAGGACGCCAAAGGCAGAGTGGTGGCAGCGGGGCTGTACGACTACTGGATGGGCCCGTGCAAGGCGAAGTGCAACAAGAGCGCGAAGAAAGAGGTAGCCGACCACCAGAAGGAGGTGAATGAGAAAATGTATAGGACCGCCCCACCTGCTGGAGTGGGTGGCGAAGATGGAAGCGATGCAAGAGGAGCTCAAAGGACAATGGGGCGGCGAGGTGGTTCACCACTGGCTACGATTGGCGAAAGAGGAGAAGGGTCAGCAAGTGGTGAGCGGGACGTTCAGCGCATGCAGGGTGAAGGACGCCCACACCGAGGAGGACTAGGGCGAGGAGCAGAAGAAGACAAAGGACACGGTGAACCTCAACCAGTG